GGGATAATCTTTAGTATTATAAACAACAGTTCCATTTGCTAAAACAATTTCTGCATCAAGGATATTATCTGAAGACATTCCAAATTTTCGATTAAGAAGTCCTACACCCTATCAAAAAAATAAATTAAATTGTTAATTATTAATGTTTTAATTTTTTATAGTTTAAAATTGCAGATATATATACAATAAATTTTAGAGTAATTCTTACGCCACCCATTATATGACCACCAACTCCAATACCAGGACAACCACCAGCTGGAAATGCAAATACATGCTCAGTAACTTGATAATATAATGATTTTAGTGTATTCCCTGTTCCGATTACAGCAGTTTGTGTAGTTACATTAACGGTAATTTTATTCAATTTTACAAGATCAATAATTAAATAACAATCTCTATCTCCAATACTATAGCTTTCATAAGAATGGCCACCTGATCTTGCAACAATTGGAAAATTTAATTTTACTCCACATTTAATAGTATTTTGAACATCTAATATGTCTATCGAATGTACAAACGCTACTGGAAAATGAATTACTCGTGTATTATATTCAATGCTAAGATCATCATTATAAGCAGAAAAATCATTTCGAAAATGTACAGGTCCTTTAATATGTGATTGATCAAGACATTCTCGAAGGAAATCTTCTCCCGGACATTTGTTAACTGGAAGAAGGTATGGAAAAACGTGAACGGTTGTAATCAAAACGAATATCACGTATAAATATGAAATCATTTTTTATTAAAATTTTTATTTTTATTTTTATTTTTTTAGAACCCTCTTATTGAGGGGCGTAATTTATTAAAAAATTTATAATTGATAAAGATAAGATACAAGTTAAAAAGTTTTTAAAATATTTATCACTGCCTCCAATTGGCTTATTATTTGTAAAATGTGATTTGAGTTAAATTTTTGAAATAAAATTGTTAGTACTGGTTTACTGGTTTTTTATTTATATAAAAGGCTCAGATTAGTGGCCCAATATAGCTATTTTAAAAGTTTAGTTATTTTGTCTCTTAGCATTATGGTAGGCGAAACATTCCAAATCATTTTCCAATAAAGATAGAAAGCTAAGCCAACTGCATGTTAGAAAATAAGAATATTGGTGATTTTCAGAATTTGATAAAAAAATATTATGAAAGGGTGAAACCCGCGACGGAGGTAGTTACGTTATTGATGCAGATTATCATATGATTTTAGTGGTACAATAGGATTTCATGCATAAATTAAATACGCCACAAATAAAAGTTTTCAAAATTATAGCCAATTTTTACCAAAATTTCGATTTATAGCAGATACGTAGTAGCAAAATCTTCAGGGGTTATATTATTTTAAAAAAATATACATCCATATATCGTAAAGTTTTCCGGGGATTACCCAAATTTCCCGGGGTTACACAAGAAAGCAAATTGTTCTATCGGAGTTTCTG